GAAACTTTTCATGGATTGGATCAACTGAGGGAATTGTTCCTGAATCATAATCGAGTGTTGGGTATTCGGAAGGATGTGTTTAATTCCTTGAGGCACCTCACAAGACTCGATCTCAGCCACAACGAGATAATTAGCATCGAGGAAAGAGCTTTTGCAGGACTTTCGTTGGCATTTCTGAATTTAAAAAATAATAAATTAATGGTGATTTCTACAGGAGCCTTCTGTGAGGCTTCGCTATCCGAATTGAATTTATCTCATAATGGTATCAAGGAAGTTGAAGAGAACTCTTTCAGTCACACAAAAGTTGAGTTAATTTTTTTTAAGGGTAATCAAGTGGTTGTGAATGCATCTATATGGGGACTCTCCCAGGAAACTGGTGTTCGTGTCGATGATGATTGAAAGTTCAGAGGCATTAGATATATTAGATACTAAATGTATTAAAGTTTCCATGAAATAAATCATAATCAATGACAATTGGCTATTGAATTATATATGTATTAATTAAAAGAAAGAGAATAGGAGAGAGAGGAAGAGGAATTAATGCATCCGTCACGTTGATTTTGTCGCTTTCACTCCTATTTTCGTATCGATTTTTCATTTAACTACCCTCGCCGAAGAAGTATCACTTAAAAAAATAAACAATTACGTTCTCTGTTAAAAAAAACGCATTATTATTTATCAGTCATCAGTTTACACATCGTTTTTTTTACATGGCGTGATTAATCAAGGTAAACAATAATCTCCATTCATCGAAAGACAACGAGGAACAATACATAATACATTAATTAAGTTGAACAGGAGTTTGTGAATCACATTTTAAGTTTCTCCTCTTGAGCAAGAAGTTGATTCTTTATTTTCTGAAGCAATTCCTTCTTCACTGAATCTGGCACAAGACTTCTGGCTGTGGATGTCACTGTAGCTAGGAGAATGTCATAAGTGATGTCATGACCATTCTCTTTGATCAAGTCCTTGCAGATGATCTTCACTTGGTCTCTCCAACCACACTCGACCAATCGTCTTCGTAAAAGCTCCTTCAATCTAGCAAATAATTTTCATTAATTATCATAAAAAATTCTATTAGCTTTTTCCTATGGAACATAAACAGCACCGTGTTGAAATTGAACGCACCCGTTCGATAAATCGTTGATTTATTCGTATTGACAAAAAAATAAACAACTTACCCATCACGATCCCCGACCATCACCAGTCGTTGGTGAGGCGCAGCTTTCATTTTCTATTTGTGTTATTCTTGTCGGAAAAGCTGAAGAGATGTTGCAGTAATTTTCTAGATTGTCGTGGAATAAAATACTAGTAAATTGTACTGACAAGCGAGTGATTTGTAAACAACAACAATAGTTGCAAAGAAAATCGACTAGAGTTGAGGTTGAGTTCTGGGAATTCGATCTCAGAGAGTTCCGTTGGAAATAAGGAGATGATGAGTTCCATCTGTTGGTAAAATTACTCTAGGCGCTGCAGTCGTTTCAATGATTTTTTTAGTAACTCTGCCTTTTATGTAGTTCATTAAGTTCATGCTGTCATCGGACATTCAGCGAAAAAAATCCATCGGCATTCGAGAGTGTAAACTTTCCACAGAACTAACCAAAAAACTTGCCGAAAATGCTGATCAAAGTCAAGGTATTGTGCACTGACAGCTGCGAAATCCCTAAGAAATTAGCTTTTAATTAATAAAATGTTCATCCGTTTCAGACACTGACGGGGAAAGAGGTAATTACTGGAATTTATTGGATACTCAAACCTGCAAGCCGGTGAACAAATTGACAATTCATGTCAATGGAAGCCCTCGGATAATTTCTCATTAATTGGATAATTATTGAACATAGTTCACAGCAAAAAACAAGAGTGTTTGAATCGACTCTTGTTCTATTCAAGTGTTTTCCATCAGAAAAAAGAATATTTCTCTTAGAAAAAGTGCTGTTCCTCTTTGAGAGAAATTTCTCAAATAATTGTCATCTGGTGGAATTGATTTAATTTCATAGTGAATGGAAATCAAAACGGTAGCAAAATAGTGAAGTGACATAATTTGCATTTCATTTTAAGTTTTCTCCATTTAACTAATAATTGGAAGAAACGTTAGATTCTACTTATCGTTTCGTTTCTGAAAAGTTTTATTGCAACATTTTTGTTATTATGGGTGACTTATTTCTGTGGCATTTTTTGCAGATCGAAATCGATATCGAACCCACAGACAAAGTCGAGAGGATCAAGGAAAGAGTCGAAGAAAAAGAGGGCATTCCTCCTCAGCAACAGAGATTAATCTTTTCAGGGAAACAAATGTGAGATTATTTGTTCATAATTATTATTTTGATGAATGCAGATAGATTCAGAGATATTTCTCAAACAGTTAGCCTGAATTTTTTTTATAGTCTGAAAAATCTACATGAAATATTCAAAAAAGAAATAATTACAAGTGATCAATAAAAAAATTAATTTACTCACCTATCATTCGCTATTGACCGCCAGGAATGATGAAAAAACTGCTCAGGATTATAAAGTGCAAGGTGGTTCTGTCCTCCACTTGGTACTTGCGTTGAGAGGTGGCTTCTAGTACGAAAGGAAAAATACTTGCGATTCTGGTCTTACAGTTTCTTCTCCAACGATCAACTACTGCGATCAGGAGAAATCCAGAGAGAACGAGTCAGCAGTCCTTCACAATACTTCAGCAGACATTCAATTCGCTATAATATTTTGGACTTACATTATCTAAGGAGAATACCTCTGTAACTTAATTTCAAATATGGATTAAATTGTTTAATTAAATATTACCGCTGTTTCACTCGTTGTGAATATTTAATCTTGTTTTACGTATTCGTGGCACATAGATAAATTTATAGCAACGGAAAACTTAATAAAATAGACAATGGATGATAAGTCACAATTAATTGGTTCTCTATATTATTCGAAACAATAATCCCAAGTCATTTGATTGTTTTCTTAATTATCAAAAAATGCCCCTCTTTTTCGGGTTTACATAATTTTTCACAGTGCTTTCTAATTTTAGTTCGATATTTGAAACTTTCATAAGCGCCTAACATAAAAAACATTAGTTTTTTCGTTTACGTCTAGGTCTGTGCAATTAATTATTTTTTAGCATCAAAGAAGTTAATTTCATGTACTCCACTGTCAGCCAGAAAATTATATAAATTGTCTTGAACATTAAATGATAGAAAACTGCTTTTTACACATGTTTAGAATTTTGCTATTGCTTATCTATTGTAAAACTATAATTTTTTTACATTACTTCGTGATGTCGAATCCACATTAATAAGGATTAATAGAGATTACATCCTGCATCTGTGAAGCAGTAATACATAAATCATAACTGACCCAAATAAAAATAATCACTCCATCGAGTCAGAATCTCACACAGATATTACTTTATTCCTCGATCAACATCACTAGAACATTGGGAACTATAAATTTCCATTTTATCCATTAATTTTCCTTCGATTACGTCATTAGTAGGGTGATCAATTTTACTTTGATCATATCTATTTATTTCTCATCACTATTACTCTGGTACAATGAAGTGCATAATTCTCAGATAAAGTAATGTTTGAAAGCGCAAATAATGGAGTGGTAACAATACCATCGTTTTAAGGCATTTTTCAAAACACAGTCATACTCATTCACTGGTGATAAATTTTGGGTTTGTAATTATCTCGAGTTGCGTCGGTTCAATATTATTCCATTGCATTTGTATATAAATCCAACATGTGAACGATATTTTAATCTATCGAGGATTATCAAAACGTTTGGATTCATTGGAGGAGTACGAGAGAGCAATTCCACTAAAAAATGTGCAATTGCATGGAACTCATTTCAATGAAAGATAATTTTTTTATTTATTTCTGTTTAGAACTTTGGAAACTGCAGACAGTTCTAGCGTTAATTTTTTAGTGCATAAAACGCTACAAAACGAAAATCAGATAAAAAGCCATAGATTTTTATTTCTTTTCAGATTAGCGCAAAAACAAAAAAACAATTAACGGGAATTTTTTAAGCTTTCAGTGTAATTATATTTTGTCCCTTGAACCTCTTCATATGTGGGACCTTATGAATTTTCAATATTAATAACAAAACATTGCTGTTTATCCGATTTTCGGATTCGAAAATAATGGATTTCTTTCAAAATTGCAATTGAAGACAAATACCTGTCCAATTATTAACATAAAAAAGTGTATCAAATATTTCCATTCAATTGTATTAGTCAACAGAAAAAATTCGAGAACCTCATCATTCAGTAATTCTGCAGGGAAGAGGCAAAATCATTTCAGTTCATCAATTCGGTATAGAAGCGATGAAACTATTCAATTTGACTTGTATTTTATTTAAACAACACCAGAATGTCTCCGAATCTAAGGGAGATATCGTAGTCTGCATTACGGACTTTTTTGTAGAGCCAATTAAAACCAGCACAAAAGAAATTATTACAAATATTTCTCTCTCTACCGTAGATTTGTACATGTGCATTGAAAGCCTTCGAAAACTGATCGGACCTGTTTCATCGGTTCGCTACTAGAATTTTGCAAAATTCATTTTTGTTGTTCATTTAAAAAAATGATATTTATCGAAAGATTGATCTTTGAAGATTTTTAAAAAGACATTGAACTTGAAATGGATGTATTTTTATCCCTTCTCTATAGAATTCAGAATGAAAATAGAACAATTACCTGATGGACGGATAATCGAATGAATGTACATTGATGAAGAAAATTAAATTAGCTTCGTACATGATTGACAAATGTATTCGCAATATTATTAAGTTTATGGGCTGTCCAAATAAATATTACATGTGCTTTCTCCATACACATATGGATTTTGATAATGAATGGATTAAAATACTGTGGAAAGACGACTAGAGTATTCAATGACTGATTTATATTTATATAAATCATCTTACATACAACAATATGAAATTCATATGTACGAAAGCTTGTGTTTTCACTTAGCACACAGCCGAAAGGCCTTCGAAGCGAATTAAATGAAGGTCCCTACTCGCGTTTAATCTATAAACCATTTGCAACAGATGTACAACTTTTACGGTCAGCTTAGTGTTACACGTTTTGAAGTGTATCCAATTAATTAAATGTGAGAATAGAGGTTTTACTGATACACTGGGAACAAAAAAAATATTTCCATACAACACGTGTAAATTAATTCAACAGCAAAATAATACACAAAATTCTATGAAAAGATTCTCTTCTTTGCGGTAATTCGACAAAAATTATGGAACGTCTCGTCAATTTTGTATAGTAAAATAGAAACATATTGACATTTTTCTAAGAATTTTTGTTATGCATAAAATCTCGGTTGAGCCTGATGAAGAAAAAAACTATATTAACTAATTTTACGATCAAATGAAATAATTTCCAGTTTTTCAATTATTAATGGGCGATTTTGTAGTTTTGAAAGGGACTTCTTTGGAGAATGCTTTTCTTTCATCTCAGTGTAAAATGTTTTCAGTAGGGACAGAATTTCATTTAAAATGTACCTGACTCCAAGCGCGAAGTAATGTCCATGAAATGATAAAATTAATGTACATCCAATGAAAATATTTCAGTGTGTGTATTCCGGATGAAATAATGTAACTCTGCTAAGAGCCGGTTATACGATCTTTCGAACATTAATTCGATTTTTCGAAAATTCCCATTTTCAAAGTCTTTTTAACCTATGACTTGTGAGGACACTTGCGCGATGTGATATCAAATGACAATTTGCAAAATTTCCTAGTCTAGAAAAATGAGAAAACAAAGTAGTTAAAGTTCGAAAGATTATAGAACCAGCCATAAGAGGCCTCGGAATAAAAAGATAACTAGCAAGGCGTAAAGAAAAGTTTACATGAAATTTCAGCCAAAACCAATGCGATATGTGCAAAATGACTTTGAAAATTGTTCAGTCCACAGGAACAACATTGAACAACTTGAGGGTGATCTGAGAAGGATAAATAATTTTAATAATCATTTGACAATACGAGGTGGGTCGTCGCCATTTTGAAATCCCTTCGCGACAGAGGGAGGGGATATCGGAGCAAGATGACGGCGCCCACGTCTGTCCACCACCTCGTATTTTTGAAATCTATAGAAAATGTTTATCCTCTTCAAATCCAGCTCCTATAAAATGAACAAATTCTTCAAGCCATCTTTGAGAAATTTCTATAACTTTTTCCAGTAGCTTTTTTTTACTCCCAAGACCTCTCAATCGTATAAATGGATAATCATCATGCTATGGCTCTCAGGAACACAAATAATCGTTGAATTTATGAATTCACTCCTTTTTTTGGACTCCGATGTCTCTGGATCGTCTTTTGCCATTGCATATTATGTTTTAATCTCATATGACGACGCAGGTCGGTTCTACGACTGAGAGTGGTGTGACAGAGGATGCAGGTTGTCTGGTTCCGATGCACTTCTAGGTGCTGGGTCAGCGATGCGAGGTGCTTGTAAACACTTCCGCAGAGACTGCAAGAAAAACGCCCTGGACCCTGCATCACCACTTGACCAGTTGTATCGCCAACATGCTTCCGTTTTCGTCCCACCCCCCCTGCAACACATTAACAGGCTCACGTGACCCCCGGGCTATTTTTTCACTGTACAATCATGTTGTGTTTATTAATGAGGGTAATTGGACGGATTGCGGTGTGATGGACCCTTGTGAGCGCAGTCATCTTCTAAATGATTTGTTCGACCTGAACTGACTCGATCGGCTCGACAAAAATATCACCCAGACAATTTTCATACTCAATGTTTTCTATTTAATCAGCTAGATATTTTTTGTTCGATGAAATTTACTGATTTACGCAGACGATATAAAATTTACTATATTTATGCCGAGGAAATATTTGGAGTGTAAAAATTGTAAGAAGGAATGGATTTTGATTCAAGATGGCTATAAAAAATTGTTCATTTAATAGAAACAGGATGAAATTAATTGCGGCGAATTTGAAATAAATGAATAATGTTAATAGTTGTTGAAAAATACGAGGTGGAAGCACCGCCATCTTGGGAAGCTCTCGCGGGAGAGGGACGGAGTATCCAAACAAGATGGCGGTTCATCTATTTAAACATTTATTGAAACATTTCATCCTCTTCAGTCTTTAAATAATAATAAATTTTCACGTAGACATAACTAGAATGAACATATCCCTCCATAATTTCAAAGAAGTCGCATCGAACCGATCGTGTCACTTCACAAAAGTGTTGGGTATCTGAAAAAGACCCAAGCCATTCAGGGAAAAGGAATAAACCATGGGAATGATAGAACTCAAGAAAATGCAAGGATTAATGAGAATGATTTGTACGAAGTTTCGCCACACCCTAATTATTGTCAAATTCAATGGAGTTTGCTGGAGTTTTCGCGTGCAGAGTTGTGCAGATCGATGCTTCATGCGGTTGAGAGTATGAAAAATCGAACAATTTTTAATACTATCGTTGCGCATTTCGCCGATTAATTTATTAATTCATTCCTCATAGAATAGCTGCAAGAAAAGGAATAATAGTACTATTTCCAAACGGTTGTGGTTCGAATGGAGAAGGATACAACGTCGATGAGGTTTTTTTTTTTTCATAATTTTCAAAACTTTATTCACACACATGTTTACTTACATATATATTTCCTGCTATAAGTCAAACATGGGATTACGTTATGTACGATATATTAGGGTTCATTTCTCTCTCCCTCCATACACAATCGAAACGGGGGAATCCCCTCTGACATTTAAATTATATTGGCAATCCGGTAATTTCATTAATATCAAGATATCTTTGACTTAAGGAATGCACAATAACATTCCCCATTGTCTCTACGTCAATTTCTTTGGCGAACAAAATAATATTTGCACTTTGCGGTGGAAAAAAACGCAATCATCCGTGTTCAGGAGTTATTTAGACTATAATATATATATTATGATATACATATATTTATTATAGACTATCTTTGTTTATATTTTTTTCATTTATTTGAAGGCCTGTCTGAGGTCGACGAAGACATCGCACTGTTGGAAACTAACTCTCGTAATTTGCGGACGAAAAACTCAAACTCCGTAATTAATTATTCAACGTCACTCCAGTTTATTATTAATTAATTAATTAGAAAATTATTTATTGCTACTACTCATTGCGTTTTTAAAATAAATTTAGATTATTTTGATCTAGTTCTTATAATGGGTCTGAAAATTTAAGCTGCCATTGAAGTATTAATTATATTTAAACATCGAAAACAGCCGGGGAATTAAATGTTCTAAAGAACACGTTGACATTCACCGAAACTCAAAGAATTTCGAACAGTGCGATCCCAAATGATCTCATATAAACGTACACTAATGATTGAAGATACACAGTTTAAGACCAAGTAATCATCAACTCGAATAAATAAAACAATGAGCAATTTGGGTGAATCTCTGGATAGTCGAATGCTTCCTCGTTAAAAAGAAGAAAAAAGTCAATCTCCATTGGCTTGAAAATAAATTATTAAATAATTTATGGATAACGCTGTGAAAAATCTTATAAGCTTCTGTTCACTAGGACAATTTCCACATTCCGCAGAACTACATGAAACGAAAACCTGAATTTGAGGGACAAATTCACGACGATCTTGATAACCCTGCATATAAGATTTTTATAAGGTACTGATTAAGAAATAAATTCCTATATTACCCAAATTTTTGGCAAATCTAGACTTACACCTATAATTATAATGATTTTGTAATTAGAAAATCTGGTGGGTTTGTTTAGACTCTTAACTTTTACTTAGACAAAAATTATCTTGACAAGATGAAGAATCATTTGGCTTGAAGAACACGTCTAATCAATGAATATAAAACATAATGAAACTGACTAATGGCCTAAGTTTTGGCAGTCAACTAAAAAGTAAACCATTGACTAGTAATGAAACATGGCAACCAACTCAATGAACTTATTCTCCATTATAATATAATATTATAATTCTAAAAAAATGCACATTTCTTCTAACATAACTTAAGTACTCGAAGTAAACGAAATGTGACTAGAAATAACTCAATAATATTAGTCCAATTTCGATTGCCCATGAGTTATCGATTCTTTGGTTATAGAATAATTAGCGGATGTCTCAGTTATTCACACGCGTTACCAAATTATTGAAATTATCAATAATAATCTGGTTCTTTATATTGTACACTTAATACATACATATATACACAATTTGAGATGTGTATAAGTGACTAGTGCGAAACGATAATAATCTACCAACATTTTATCGTTATAGAAATGTTCAATGCTCTGTCTTCAATGTTTCATCTTCGTTTTGGAGATTTTTTTTTAAATGTTAATTTCATCTTTGGTGGTTATTCACATTAAGGAATGGGACTGGACGTTATTCTCTCAACGCTGCTCTCTCTTATTCTTATCGTTGTGAATGTTGTGTTGGATTCTGGACAAGATGCGTTGGCTGCTGCAGCTACTGGTAATTGCGTTGAATTACGGATATTATCGGTTGTAGCAATTCCCAACCATCCGTGCCGATTCTTTAAATGACGTTTCATGTGAGTTGTACGGCTCAGTACTTTGTGGCATACTGGACACTGGGTTGTCCCTTTATGCATATTCATGTGTTTATACATTGAGTCTCGATTCCAAAATGATTTACCACAGAGTTTGCAAGAATGCGACGGTTGCTCGACGACCACTGTACGTGAATCTAAATCAAATAAATTATTTCATGCTCATTGTTTTTTGCTTGGCTTTTCTCGGTTTTTATTTTATCATAATGTTGATTTCTTTTAATCATCTTGACTTGTCAATTTATTCATTTACTCTGTTTTTTTTTGTACAGCTCCTTGATGAGACTCACTCCGCTTTCACACCACATTCATACGCTATGGAAATTTCATGAATGTACAAATTAGAGAACGGAAAGTAACTGGAGTCAAACCAACACTGATTTCAATATCAAAATAATTACAACATTGTGCTTATCGTGGAATTACTCGGACTCTCATTTATTTTAGTTCATTGAGCCACTGAGAGGAAATTATCGGATTGGAGCAGAATTGTTTCATGGAAATTATCACATCTTCAGAATCGCTGCGAACGAATTAATATTATTCATTTTAAACAGTGAAGAATTTAAAATATAATATGGCATTACTTTGGCATTACTTTGAGATGAAAATTTCTGCAAAAAAACAATAAAACAAAAAATTCTTTCAAATTTTTTAGTTTTTTATCGTTTATACATCACTTTAAAAATTTACTAGATATTTGAAAGTTCGAGGAAAAGAAACTGGAAACTATTAATTCGATAACAAAAACGTTATTCTTGATAATTTTGGAAGTGCGATTTTTTAAATTAAAACAAGACTTATCCACGATTATTTTCCTCTCAGTATGGGGCTAAAGCAACCATGCTACACTCGAGGAGCATTTATTTATGATAAATGCATACGTACCAACTGTATTAATGTGTTTCATCATGCAATACTTCAAACAATTTATTTCTATTGTAATTTCAATTTGAATCTTTGACACTGGAAGAAGAATATCACAAAAAAAAGCAGAAGAATCACGCGATACCTACCTACCCACACTCAACAAAACGTGAAATTTTGAACGAGTCATTGCAATTTGTGCTTTCTCTGGTAACAAAAAATAAAATGTTTATCTTCTGTTATTTCATGAGTGAACCGACAATCATTGAATTCCTTCATACCCTATTGCGGTGGAGTGGATGAAGAATATGTTGAGTAGACAACATCGCCTTGTAATGTAAAATTAATTTTAAAAAATATAGATGACGGAAATTATCTTACGAATAAGTTGAGATCGAAGTGGATCTTTACTGCATCTAAGAAGCATTTTATTCACACTTACAGAAATATTCCAGATACAATATGAGACTCTAGTCTTCGGGCTGAAGACAGCGTTTTACGTACATGTTTTGCCTGAAATTCGGACTTAATTATGGTAGAAAAAAGAGGTGAGACGCGAACTGGCACAGTGTAGCTTCCAATACTCAATAATTATCAAGAGAATTTATTTCTATTTTTATTTAAAAAATGAAACTTCCTTCAATTCTGTGCGAAAGAATATAAAAGTGTCATTTGCGACTGAAGACATCCGAGTAGTGCAGTCTTTAGAGCAGAATTGGTTTACGACGGTTTTGATTTTGGGATTCTTTTAACGGCACTAATTGTCCCCTATTAATAATTCCGAATATTATTCAAAATTCTCAATACAGAATTGCATTTGATTAATAATTCTCATTAGATTACGTGTGCCGTAAGATTTTCCCTCAGAAAAAGAAAACAGGAATCACAGCCGGAGTTTTTAGTTGTATTTCATCATTCCAAATGACACCCCACAAAAAATGTATATATTTAAAAAAATATATCTTTAAATAACTTCTATCATCTCAATTTATGTAACAACAATAGATAAAGCATAATATATTTGATCTCTATATATTTTGCATATCCTGTGAGAATATAATGAATCCACCGATATTATTGAAAATAAATTAATAATAGAATAATTTGAAAATAAATTAATAATAAAATAATTTGAAAA